TCAGGGCTAAATGGAAGCGATAACTCAATGCCCTTTCTTTAAACCAGGAAAATACCTTTTATTTTTAATGACATTTGTTGAGTACCCATGTGCTAGATACTTGTACATTATTTTATTTAATCCACACTATTCTAAGAGGTAGAACTAACTCTCTCCCTTCATTTTATAGATGGGGCCCCAGAAGGTTGAACAATATGGCTAAAACAATTAGCCGTATACCCAGTAAATAGTGAAGTCAGGATTTGAATCCAGATTCAATTCTAAAGCTCTTTCTATTGTACAAGCTGTTAACTTTGCAGTTAGAAAACTCTTAGGATTAACTCTGTGAATTTCTGATGACTTAGCATTAACTTTCTTGGCTCTTGTTTTCTTTTTCTGTAAGATGAAAGGATTGAGCTGGATCTTTAAAGTTAATTCTGGTTGTAAACTTCTGTAATTCTTGGATTCTTTATAGAATGGAAGCTGTGAACATATCGAGCTTCTACTAGTTGTCTTGTGTGTAGCCAGTTTGGTTTGGAACGGAACACCATCACCCTGTGTAGGTGCCAAAAAGGCCTAGTGGAAGGATGGGTTAAAAGAAGGTCTGTTCTTAACTGCAGATCACAAAAGAAAACTTAAAGCAAAGTATAATACCTGAGTGTCAAGGAGCATGGCAAGCGTGTACTGGAGACCGGGGGTGGGGGGTGGGGTGGGACCTGGTAACAATCAATATCTTTAAACAGAAACACCATTTAACCTCAAAGGGTTATTGTGCCTGAGTGAGTCTGTGTGTGCCTGTCTCCAGGACTGGGGCTTGTGCTCGATGGTACAATGATGATTCAGTTTCAGTTCTTTTAGGGCCTTATAACATTTCCAATTAAATGGTAGAGAGAGAGTTACAGGAGGAACCCAATGATTATTGACATAGGAGAGCTAATGAGATGGCATGGCATAAAAAAAGAGCACCATTATCACAGTATTTCTGTTCCACTTATATAGTACCTTTTCCTCTGAAGTGCTGTACAAATAACACTGAGATAATAAGCCATTTAAAAATGTCAAAACACTGAAGAATGAGAAAGGGGCTAAGAAATAAACACAGAAACGAAGCGGTAGAGGCTGTAGATCTCCGATTGGCACAGCAGGGTAGTGACTGTTCCACTGCACTCGCCTTTGGTGCCACGAGGGGTAGACACTTGACGTGGAGGCCTTTTCCTCGGGCCAGGCTGGTGCTCACCCTTCCTTTATCCTGGGGTTGTGACTGAAGACTGTGGGTTTTGGGGTCACATGGACCTGTGTTTAAATCCTCATCCTGCTACTTACTAACTGTTAACTTGGAACAAATTACCTAAGCTTTCTGAGCCTCAGTTTCTTCATCAATAAAGTGGTGTTAATTATACCTTTCTTGTTAGAGTCGTCAATAGGATTAACGTAAATCAGTCACATACCTAAAACATTTAGTTTAGTGCCTGGCCACATGGTAAGTGTAACATAAATGCTAGCTATTCTTATGCCCAGAATAGGTCAGAATAGTGGTTCTGATGGGGTGATAGAACATAATAGCAGCAGCTTCTCTGTGGTTCAAAAGAGAAGGCAGTGTAGAGTTGTCAGGATCTTTTCTTTCTCTGAATTTATAAAGTATAATCTGTACTTCATAGACTACCATTATATTTTTTAAATGAAACACAGACAAATACATAATAATTTTAACCCATCACCAGCTTTAAATAAAAAATTAGATAGATTTGAAGACCCCTTTTTCACTTCTACCCCCAAAAACCACTATCCTGAATTTGGTGTATCATTTCCATGCATGTTTTTATATTGTAATTATGTATCCATAAACAACATGGTATTTTTACATATTTTAAATTTTAATGTAGATATTATTATACTGTATATTTATTTCCTTGTGTAGCTTTCTTCTCTCTCTGCATTGTGTTTGAGATTTTTCTGTTACATTTGTAGCTTCATTCATTTATTTTAACTGCCATTGAACAATCCATTATATGCTTGAATATACTGTTTTAATCCATTCTCTGTCATAGAAAATTACCTATAATTTTGAATATTCCTGCGTACCTCTCACCTTCTCATCTCCCTCCCTCAACCTAAGAGGTGTAATCACTATCCTGAATTGTGTTAATATTTTTTAATGGTTTGAACATACATATTCCTAAACAATATAGTATTGAGTTTTATCTGTCTTTAAGGTTTATATAAGTACAGTCTTACTATGTTTATTTAGTGACTTGCTTTTTTGGTCAACATTATGATTTTGAGACTCATGTTGATGTATGTGGCAATAGTTCTCACTATGTACATAATTCCATTATTTGAAGATATTCTTACTATATATGGACCTTTAGGTTTTATCTGACTTTTTACTATTACAAACAGCATATAATTAAGATCCTTGTACATGTGTGTTGAGTTTTTCTTGGGCATATACCTAGGAATGAAATGACTGTGGTATGGGTAATGTATGCGCATTTTTATCTTTACTGGATATTGATAAGTAGTCATTTTATTATCATTTAATTATAAGTACAGTAAAACTTGGATTGCGAGTAACTTGGTTTGCAGGTGTTCTGCAAGATGAGCAAACATTTATAATACATTTTAACGTGATAAATGAGAGATGTCTTGCAATACGAGTAGTTTGTTTCTGGAACGAATTATGCTCGCAAACCAAGGCATTACTGTATTTTCCGATTTTCTGTTTTCTGATTTGACCCATGAGTTTAAAGTGTATTTTTAAAATTTCCAAATATGAAGAATTTTTTGTTATGAATTTTTAACTTAATTGCTCTATCGTCAGCTAATGTGTATATCTCACTTTTTGGCATTTATGGAGACTTTTGCTTTATAGCCTCATGTGTGGTCAAGGTTTAGCCAGGTTTTACTTAGCTTTTATCAGTGTTTGAAAATAATTCATTACCTAACTTTGGGGTACATGAGTCTGTATATGCTTATTAACCTTAAGTAATTTTACTAGTTATTTTGTCTGAGACAAATATACTAAAGTCTTCCCATTATGATAGTAAATTTTTCAGTTTCCTATAAATAGTCATTTTTGCTTTACAGATTGTGATGTTTTGTTATTAGGTGCACACAGGTTCAGAATTGTTTTTTGTTTTTTTTGTGTTTTTTTTTTTTTAAGATTTTTATTGGGGAATTGGGGGATGGGAACAGCGCTGGGGAATTGGGGGAAGGGGAACAGACAAGTTGCTGCCCTTTTGTTCTTCAGTCTAGTTGTGGAGGACGTTGCTTCACTGGCCCAAGTTGACACCATCATTGTGCTCTTCTTGGGCGAGGCAGATCAGTCACTGGCTTCTGGACGGCCGCTCACGACGGTTACTGGCCACTCACGCTGGCTGCTGGCTACACACGGTAGCCCTTGGCAACCCACTGCAGCAGTGGCTACAGCCTACACTGTCGCCGGCAACTCCAGGTTGAGCTGTTGTTCAGTATCTTAGCTGTAGAAGGCAGTGTCACTGGCCCTCATATGTGGAATCCGAACCTGGGCCCTCTGGCGTCCCAAGCCAGCTCTTAACCAATGTGCCACTTGGCCGGCCCCAGAATTGTTTTATCTTTCTGTTTTAAAAAAATTTTGTTTACTGTTATATTGTGATCTTCTTTATCACTAACAATAATGTTTTTGCCTTAAAGTCTATAGTCTCTGACAGTACTGTAGCTATTACTGGCTTTTTTATCATGTGTATTGGCTGGTATACTTTAAAATTTTCTGTATCCTCATATTTATGTTTTTAGTATGTTTCTTGTAAACTGCAAACAAAAGACTTTGTTTATTCAATCTAAATGTTCTGTCTTTTTAAAGATTTTTTTATTGGGGAATGGGGGGATGGGAACAGCGCTGGGGAATTGGGGGAAGGGGAACAGACAAGTTGCTGTCCTTTTGTTCTTCAGTCTAGTTGTGGAGGACGTTGCTTCACTGGCCCAAGTTGGCACCATCATTGCGCTCTTCCCGGGTGAGGCAGATCAGTCGCCGGCTTCTGGACGGCTACTCACTCCGGCTGCTGGCCACTCATGCTGGCTGCTGGCTACATACAGTAGCCCATGGCAACCCACTGCCACAGGGGCTGCAGCCTACGTAATTGCTGGCGACTCATGGCAGTCCAGCTCCAGGATGAGCTGTTTGTTCAGCATCTTAGCTGAGGAGGGCAGTGTCACTGGCCCTCATATGTGGGATCCGAACTGGGGCCCTCTGGCGTCCCAAGCCAGTTCTTAACCATCGCACTGGCCCTAAATGTTCTGTCTTTTAACTGCTAAATTTAGTCTGTTTATATTTATTGCCATTACTGGTATGTCTGTACTTCTTTCTACCATCTTATTTTATGTTTTCTATTTACCCTGCTTTGTTCTCTGCAGTTTTTCCCCCTTTTTACCTGCCTTCTGAACAGCTTTGCCTGTAGTTTTTCCTTCTAATTGATCACCCCTAAAATTTTAACATGCATTTTGTTTAGCAAAATCTCACAATAAAATCAGCATTTTACCTTTTCTTCTGAATAATACAAGGATTTTGGAAAGCTTTCAGTCTAGTTACCCTCCACCAACTTTATGTTTTTGACCAGTATTTTACTTCAATTTCTTTTTGTTGTTAAAATTTTTTTATTGGGGAAGGGGAACATCCAAGGGCACAGCTAGCTCAGCTCCAAGTCCCATTCGCCATCCGGCCACCCGTGGCAACCTTGTTAGGAGCACGCGATCTCACCAGCTGAGCCATCCTGCCACCTGTTGGTAGCTCAGCAGCAGCTCAGCTCGGGTGCAGCTCACTGACCCATGTGGGAATTAAACCTGTGGCCCTGTTGCTCAGAGCTCACACTCTTAACCAACTGAGCCACTCGGCCAGCTCCTACTTCAATTTTTCAATCTGTCAAATTAGTCTTTATTATTGCTGCTGTTACATTTAATTTTTGTACTAACTATCGTTGTTTTATAATACCCAAGGAGATTGTGATGTCATTAATTAAATTGGTTTTCTCACTCTTTCTCTTCAGATTTTCAAAAGAAACAACCAGACGATGATTCCACTCCAAGTACAAGTAACAGCCAATCAGATTTGTTTTCCGAAGAGACCACCAGTGACAACAACAATACCTCGATAACCACGCCAACTCTTAGTCCCAGCCAGCAGCCGCTTCCGACAGAACTGAATGTAACTTCACCAAGTAAAGAGGATTGTAAGTGCCCAGGTGCTGTGAGGTGGTAGAGAAAACAGCCCAAGAATCCTATCATGAGCTTCTTGGTAATGCCTCACCCCAGAAAAAAGATAGTAGCTCTTTTAATTCAAGCTTAAGCTTTGACATATAGGCCCAAATCAGCAAGTTAGAGAATACGTTTCAGCCAATCTGCAGAGCTTAAAATGATCTAAAAAGGTAGCCTTTTATGTTAACTGTCAAGGAACACAAGGTTTTGAACCAGTTGAGGGCAATGGTTCTCAGCCCTGGCTGCAAATTAGAATCCACTGGGGATTTTAAAAACAATTTCAATTTTCAGTAACATTCCCTGAGTCAATTTAGTTTGTCTGGAGGGAGGCCCAGAGAGCTGTTCTAACTCTGCAGAGAATTCTGAAATGTAGCAGGTGTGGGGAACCGCTGGCCTAGGGAACTGGCCCCTGTTTGAGGAACCTTGGATTGCAACCTTACCTCCATCACTAATGGGGCCTTGAATGTTTTTAGGCAATTAGCTGAGATAGTAACACTGTATACTTCATAGGTCATAGGTATTTGAAGGGGAGAAGAGATGGTTTCTGTTACTCTTCTGTAAGGCCTCAGTGATAGAATACCATTATCATGTATTGGGTTGTCGGAAAAGTCATGATGTATTATTTCTATGGTTTTTGTGGCAAAAATGTGTCATGACTTTTGTGACAACCCAATATGTGATATGGAAGTCCATTGTCCACTTAATCTTTATAATACTGTAACCATCTCCTTTGTCACTAACTTTGACAGTGTTTGCTGCAAATTATAGGGATGTTACGACATAGCAGTTTCTGCCTTTTAAAATCTTTAGTTAAGTTGAAATTTGGCATTTCAAATTTCTTTTTTTTTTTAAGCTGAGCCATCCTGCCACCTTTTGGCAGCTCAGCGGCTGCTCAGCTCGGGCCGGGAATCAAAGCACTGTTGCTCAGAGCTCAAACTCTTGAGCGAGCTCTTAACCAACTGAGCCACTTGGCCGGCCCGGGCATTTCAAATTTAATGACGATGTAGGGATCCTTGAAATATGGTAGGTTTGAATGTTCTGTCTACTACTTTGAAAAGATTATCAGAGAATGAATATCTAAACCTATCATAAACCAGTGTACTAGGTAAAGTTGAGACTATAAAAGTAGAGAAGGCCATAGCCCTGTTCTCCAAAGAATTTATTATTTAGCAGGGGCAAATAAATATATTTGTTATTAAAGACAAGTGGCTGTTAAAGAAGGGTGTTGGTTTACTGAAGAAAGTGGTATTGAAGATGCACAAGGTGGTGAAAAGACATTCTAGACAGAGTAGAATGAGCTGCATGGAGTTCAGTTCTGCAATGGCAGTGACTCCTTAGGGCCATTTATGGAGGACAAGGCTGGAAAGGTAGTCATAGAGGCTTGAGTGCTCAACTAGGATATTTTGATGTTAGACAATAGTCAATTTTTGAGCAGAGGAAGTAATATTATTACAGTTCTTTTGGAGAAATAGCCTGGCAGTATTGAAAATGGGAAGGATTACAGTAGAATAACATTGCAGAGAGAGACTTGTCAAAATTCGGTAACTTTTTGATTAGAGGCCCAGGGGAAGGTGTAGAAATCATTTAAGAGGAGAAAAAAAGATAGAAATGGTAGTGGTAATGCTAAGGCAGTAGGTTTTGTTTTGCTTTGTTTTAAAAAATCTGTTTGGGGTCATGTACTTATCAAGGAGCTGATGAAAGCTCTGGCCTGTTGTCTCAGAAAAATACACACCATTCATTTATACCCAGTTTTGAATAACATTGCTCTAATGCTCACTATGGCCTTTAGGTTAGGAACTCCTTGTTTATGGAAAAGGTTGGAGCTAGTCAGGATCTCATCTGATGGAACCTTATCTGACTGGACCCACACACACCAGGGTCAGGCCACAACAAACCTGGAGCAGCCAAAAATGCATGTGAGAAGAGATAACAGTAGCTACCAATTATTGAGCACTTTATGGGCAACACATTGTACTGTATGTTTTGTATATTTTCTTTCATTCCCCAGGACAACACAGTGAGGTAGACTATCCCCTTCTGTAGATAAGGAAACAGGTACAAAGAGATCAAGTAATTTGCCTGTGGTCATGAACTAGTAGATACCAGAACCAGGATTCAAATTCAGGCATTTGGCTTCAGTTCTTTTAATCAGTTAATTTACAATGTGAAATATAACTGCCACAGAGAAGAGAAATACTCATGTTGGCAAGATCAGCACTTTTTCTTTCTGTAATTAAGGAAACTCAAATCATGAAAGTTGCTTTATTAATTCATCGTGAAAAATCCTTGTAGCAGGAATTGGAAATAAAAATACTATATTCATATGACAAACATTTTCTCTGAAGGCAGACCTTTATGGGAAGCTAACCTATAACAAAGATTTACATGGATGACAAAGTGTGACTAGAACACGTGGAATTAAATGAAGTGAATTTTTAATTGAGTCAGGTTGATAGTCAGGTATACTCCAAGGACATAGAGGGAAGGTCTTGGTTTTCAAACCAGATTCCAACTTCATACCGTTTTCTCCCTCTTCTACCTGGACTTAAACCTGCCCTGAGCTCTGGAGCCCTTGGGACACAACACTTCCTGTTTCCATAAGTTGCCAGTCTAGGCCACTGTAGACTGCCATGCTGGTTTGTTTTGTTTTGTTTTATTTTGCTATATACATACCTACAGTCTGATTAAGGACTGTCTAGTTCTACTTGCTTCAGATTCATTCTCTCTCTTTCTGGTGACATCACTGCTTCAAACCATTGTGTGTTCATCTTCAAGTTAAACTCTCTGAAGGTAATCTCATTTCCTAATTCTTGTGGGGCTCATTATTGTAATTCTCAGATTTTTCACAGATCTGGGAAAATGAGGAGATTGGTTAATCTGAGATATGATGATGACTTAAGTGGTCAATTGGGGAGTTTGAGTTGGAGCTCAGAAGAGAGAGGACAAAGTTGGCTTTATCCACAAGGAGATGAGAGGCGAAGCCTTAGGGCAGCGGTTCTCAACCTTCCTAATGCCGCGACCCCTTAATACAGTTCCTCATGTTGTGGTGAACCCCAACCATAAAATTATTTTCGTTGCTACTCTATAACTGTAATTTTGCTACTGTTATGAATCGTAATGTAAATATCTTTTTGTTTTCCGATGGTCTTAGGCGACCCCTGTGAAAGGGTCGTTCGACCCCCAAAGGGGTCGCGACCCGCAGGTTGAGAACCGCTGCCTTCGGGTAAAATGAGGTTGCTTAGAGTGAAAAAGCGGTGAGAATAGGATTTTGAGTGAAACTAAAACAGAGGAGGCAACTGAAAAAGTCAGAAAGGAGGAGAATGATTGTAGGCAAGATCACAAAAGCAGGGAACAAATTTCAATTTGTGGTGTGGGGTTTAATAATAATGAAAATGTTAGCTCACGTTTATGAGGTGTTTGCTGTATTCTAAGCTCTTTACATGTACTAATTTTTCACTTTTATAATACCCTCTGAGGTAGGTGTTTTTACAGATGAGGAAATTGAAGCAGAGAAGTTTAGTAACTTTTGCCCAAAGAGCTTGTGCTTTACAGGGTAGTTCATGTTCCAACCCACTAATTTAGGGTCCGAGGTTTTGTTTTCAACAACTATAGCACATTGCCTCAGCATTGTGCAAATGCTGCAGACTGTAAAGCGACAAGAGACATTTGAAATTGGTGATAATGAGATTGATTACCTAAATAAACTCCTTCAGTGGTTTGTGTATTCATTTAGCGGTCTTTTCGGAGAGCCTACTGTGTGTTAGGCACTAGATGAAGGGCTAGGTACAGAAATGATGAAGATTAGGCTCTACCCACAAGGAGGTCATCTTTTCAAACCCATACACCTCTCTCTGAGATTCTGGCTTGTTCTCCCAAACAGATGCATAAGAATTTGAGGGCGAAAGGGAGGCAGCAGCAGGAGCAGGGGTTAATAAGCTTGTCATTTGCATAAGCTTTCTCAGGTGCTTCCTCTCCTAGGTTGAAAACTAAGCTAGAGTGAGGGATGTGTGCCTGGCTTGTGGGTGGGGGATATAGGGATGAGAAGAGTAAGAAAGGTGTTAGAGCTGTCAGAGCTGTCACGGCGGATGCATTGTAAGTCAAGGAGATTGCCAAGCAGCGGTGAAAACCCAGGTGAGATTAGACAGCCTGATCTATTGACTCCTTGCATATTTCTCCAGCTGTGACCTACCTAGGAGAAGAAAGATAGAGCAAGAGGCTGCAGAGGATTACTTACGATGATCTTTTAGTTTCCTCAGGGGTCCAGAATTTCATATGTTGGTCCTTCCTAGCTTCGCCTAGAGAGGTATGGACAAGTAGTGTGTGGGAGTTCCTGGAAAGTGGGTTTGGAATTCCCAATCCAAGTACTACATAGTTTGTAAACTGTATAGTAGTTAAGAGATCCATTGTTATTGTGTAGAACAGGAAGTGTGGTGTCTTCTTTGGGGCTTAAAAAAAGGTTTTACTTTTTTTCTAATCGAGAATGAATATTGCTTACGTCTGCTTTCTACTTCTCATTGTTAAATGGCTATATGAGCAGAAAGGTTATGAGAGTTTGGGTACATTAATGCTGTTTTGAAAAGACTACAGCTAGAGTAAGAACTACAGACAAGAGAGTATAAAATACAGATTTTTATCCTAAAGAATTAAAACACGTGACTGGAGGTAAAATAAAACAGATATAAATGATATTTCTTCATCTGAAAACACATCTATCTCTTCCTCTTCCATCATGTGTGTCTGCAGAAGAGTCCATGGAACTTTAACCATTAGAAACATTTCAAAAAACAGTGTAAACAAAATTCAAATAGCAACCAAAGGAATTGTCACAGCATTTAGATGCTATAATAATATAATAATGGTAACAGTGACCACCACAGCACTCAAGTACTGTTTCAAATACTTTATCTTCATAATTACCCTGTATGATGAGTCCTGTCACCACCTTTGTTTCACAGATGTGGAAATGGAGACACAG